ACTAAAGAACTTTTCCTTAGTTACATTCTTCATTAAGGGTAGACTTGGAAGCTGTTACAGTCAAACAAGCTCACGCGTTGACCCCTAGAGTCGATTAATGATTTTAATTTTCGAATCTTGATTTCATTATTCAGTTGAAATTTACAACGTCGAAAACGAAGATATGAAAATTCCAATCAACTTTAAATTCAATAAACGACATTTTGATTGGTTAATCAGTGCTAAAACAGCCGGAAGACCAAGAAAACATGGMGGCCAGAAATAGTCTTGGCCGTGTTTATGTGCTGGGAAAGCCTTTACCTGATATTATTCGACAGGAAATTGTTCATCTCAGCAATAGCGGATTGTCCAATAAAGCAATTTCGTGACAACTGAAAATTTCTAGTTGGRGAGTCCAGAAAATACTTCAACATTATCGACGACATGGAACTGTGTCTCCATAGTTTGCTCAAGGCGGGAGCGTTCCCTACRAAATTACTGATGATATCGTCCAAGTAATTGAGGCATGGAAATTACAAAACCTAGTGTGTATGCTTATGAAATAAGAGAGGGACTTCTGCTCGAAGGTATCTGTAATTTAGATGATTTACCTTCTTCATCACGAGTCGAATAATTAACTTAATTTTCATTTGAATATTGCAATATTGCATTATTCCGGTTCGYACGTATAAATGGAATAATTGACTAATGATTTCATTAATCGAATCTACGGGTCAACTCGTGAGCTTGTTTGACTGTAAAAGGAAAACCTATGRTGAAGGGAAACAAGAGACCTATCCATCATATTTAAAACAGGTTCGAAATTACCTTCTCAGCAAAATAGATACGGTTTCTAGTTTTACATTTATCGCGTTCCTTATTTTTGTCTGAACTCATTTTCTCGAAAAGGTCACATTTCGCACACTCTGAAAGTTCGTTGCGGTCGCGATTTGAGGAATCTAATTGACTTATATTCTTCTTTGGTCTACCTGTGTTATGTCTTGGACTTCAAAACGAAGCCGAAGCCAACTTACATAATATATAGTCTCTTCGTTTGTCAATATTCATATACTGTTATATAGGAGATTTCGCTCTGACTGAAGGTCAAAAACACCAAATTGACGCTTCTGTCTTCAGCTATGAATAGAATTGTAATACGTATCTTACTCGATAGCACACGTGCCGACAGATATAAATGCCCTCAGAAAAAAAAAACGAACAGCAAGAGATTTTTGGGACATAGCGAGCATTTTTACAAATATACGATGATTATTTTAAGCTAAGCGTTATCTTTGACGTAAAAAAGGGCTGGGCAATGAAAAGACTAGAGAAAATTCTCACTGGGTGCTTACAAAACTCAAAATCCTTAATTAGAAAATTTTAAACCAAAATGTCTGTTCATTGTTTTGTCTATATTCTACTCTTTTTCCTAAGAAAAATAATTTCTTTCCGGGCTTGTTTGGAGTCGGATGCAACCTATACACATTTTTATGACCTATTTGGTGGAAACAATTTGTTGCAGTTATTCTTACCAGATTTTCCAACACCATCTTTCCCCAGTAGAACGACGCGTAGTGGTTTGCCTGTCGTTTGTTGTTGTGCGGTTCTTCTTCGTCTCATGATTACTTCAGTTCCTCTACGAAAAAAAAAAGATTTAAACTTACAGTCTATAGTCACAGAAAAAAATCTGATCTGATACAGGCTTGGTTCGTACTATTGAGTAAATATAGCAGCGCTCTGTCCTTTGCTGATAACGGAGAATCAGATAAAGTTGAGAAATCCAAGACAGTGAAACCTAGATTCGTAAAAATATTGCCGAGATTGAAGTGAATAATTAAAGAAATAAAAAAATCATAGAAGCCGGTATCTGTTCGTTCCTTTCAAAGAGAAGTGTGCGGATGGTGTGATGAAAAGGTACATTAGCAAACGGTTATCTAGAATATGTTTTTACCTATTCAATCAAGGAAGCCTTTCATGATTTGCTTGTAACAGTATTTATGTTTTCACAAGAATGGGATTGCGTGAACCGTCGTATTTTAAATCARTTTACTGTCCCATCACTCTTGACGTATCAAGTAATACTGTCAAAGACAAGCGCCCTCTTCAAATATGATCATAACGAACGTAATAATTAATTGTACTTACTGGAAGAATCTCATGGTTCCAAAGTCTTAGGTACAACAATGAATAAAATAAAGGCGACTTACTTTTGATCCCACGCTTGTAAGTATTTCCGATGCAACGCCTGTGCTAATTACTCTGCTCAATTTTTATATAAGAAAGACTATTTTCTAGTTGAGCTTTCGAAATCGTAAATTGTTCAATGGTATAGCTTCAGAGCTGTCAGTAATTATCTTGACTTTTGGCCGTACAGACATTTGCCTCGGGACATGCACGAATTCTTTGAATCAACTTACAGTACGAAGGTCCATCACGTCCGATTATAATTAACACGAAAACCCCTGAGGAATCTGATTTGTGAACGTGGTAAAACTTTGTGTTTGAAGTGTAGGTGGATGCAGCGACGCTACCCAACTACAGTATCTGAAATATCAGACCCCTTATCAAAATAATAAACAATAAGCTACTTACGATGATGTACGAACGCGTTTGAAACGAAGCGAGTTGTCATAACGCGAGGATCACCTCTCCCCCTCCCTCTTAGAAAATTTTATTTTTCCGTCTTCTTAGTTAATCAAGTAATCGTAATCATGATTAGAGGCATGATAAATCTCTAGCTCAGGAAGAAAGTAATAGTACTTTAATTTTCTATCGATTGCTTTTATCTTTGAGTTTGTTTTAGAAGAACGTTGTCCCGGTTTCCGCGGCTGATCAGCATGACCTGTGACGTCAACAGTCTGACAAGTAATCGTTCTCAATATCCAATTGAGCAATGGATCAATGAATTACGTAAAATGATGAGTAAGGTCACCATTAAACTAGTTCTTTCGATTCGAAATGAGTACAGATCTTCAAATGAAAATGTTTAAAGATTTCGACGGACCGTAGTAGATTTATCCCCAGTTGCCGAGCGGTTAGGATTCAGGGACGACTCGAATGCGCATGTGCCTTCGTGTGCCCCGTGACCAATCTCGTACCCAAAGCCTGCGTTTCTTCTGGCCTGCGGCGTAGAACGAGGGCTCTGGCACAATTCATTTTTTGGCGCATGCGCAATTTTCCTAAAGTGAAATATAATCATTGAAAATCATGCTTTAAAACAGAGTTCTGGGTTTACTTCCGATCAAAATATAAATTAGGAATCGAAAACATATGTTTTTATTTCTGGCAAGGYTTTGAAATCATGCGCTCTTATACCGGAAGTCCAAGAAATCCTGGTCTCAAAAAATGGATTATGCCAGTGAGAGCCTTCGTTCTTAGCCGCAGGCCAGAAGAAAAGCAGGCTCTGGGTAAGAGAGATTGCCCCATGACTCTTTGTCAAATAGAACTTATAGTTTTAGTCATGATCTATTTAGCTCTAGAGCGGATATATAGGTTTTATTGCAAAAACTAACTTTGTAGCCGATCCCTCTCATTACGATAAATTCCTAATCATCGACAAATCATTCCTATTTCATTCAAAAGCATTTTTTCACCTTGGAGCCGATATCTTTCTAAGGTTAACCCAACCATAGAATGAATTGGAATGTTATATCAAAGTCGATAAAGAATGTAAACATTTGTGTAATGATTGTAATTATTCCAACCATTTAATTAAGGTTTTTTCGAGTGTCTCTATGTTTTAAAGAGTTGAGAAAAAGTATTAATTCGTGAATAAAAGTCCTTTGTTTGTTTGTTTTTTTTATCGTGAACGTAAATGTCAATTTTGGTATGTTAAAACTAAACGTTTTGCAGTCTGTAAACTTTCATTGGTCCCTTTTTTTAATATAAATTAATTAACAGGTTTATCATATATCATTCCAAGATGGAGACATTTGTTAATTTAGATATTATTTGGTGAAGCCATTACGATACGAATGTAACTATAGACAAATCTAGATAACTCTGGAGCACATGAAGGATCGACTATCTAATGGGTTTTTGTCTTGTTTTAATCAGCGTTTTATCAAATTTCAAAAATATCATTTATATTATTCGTTAGTTTTACTCCGCACTTACTTGGATAATGTCTTGCAAGTGTAGAAGGAGTTTCAGGAGACGGTTGATATCGATATTTTTGAACTGGACGTTTTCGTCCCCGTAAAGCAACTGAGAAGCATCAATGCTCAGTATATATCTATCCTTACAGGAAGTCGGTGCTTTTCTCTCTCATTCATGCAAACATACAACTACTGACTCAGTGGTGTCGCTTTACAAAGTATCGATCGGTATTTCCCCAGACAACAGTGATGACCAGTACAGGTCTTTACGACAAGACAACTCTTCATAGCGAATTTTTTTTTCGGGTTGACGTCAGTAATATACGTGATTCACGAATAGCTTATAATAGACGTTTCTCGACCAGATATAGAATCTGTAATCCAATTAGTGATAAAGGCTACTGAGACGTTTGTACATACGCGCATTCAAAGTTGTCTACAGGTTAAGRCCCGTATACTGACGCACAGACATAAACCGTGTCAATAGCAACCTTTGTAGCCTACATATAATGGTGTTTATTGATCGATGATGGTATGGTTGCATTAATACAAACTTTCTGTAAACAACCTCGTGGAGATTCATAATTATTGATCGATGATAGGTGCACACAACAGCCCATACCAATAACAACCTCGTGAAGGATGTTGGCAAGAGAATATGAACTAAGAAAAGGAATCCCCGTGCCCCATCATGTGCACACTTTGATGCTATTTTTAGAATCTATCATTTATTTGATCGTTTGATTTTCTGCACGCGCATAGAACGCGCGCGCTCTACGCTGTTTGCTAACGTTTTCTTGTGCTTTTCTTATGTTCAAATGTTGATCAAATCTGCCCTCAAGATGACGATATAGGTCGAAAGCTTTGGAAAATAGATGTGAAAATACTACAGAAATTTGAACAAATTACTACTTCAAAATTCGAAATAACGGAAAAACCCCAAAAACGTAAGCAAACAGCGTAGAGCGCGCGCAGTAAATGCGCGTACAGAAAAACAAATGGTTTAAAAATAGCATCAAACTGTGCACATGATGGTTACAAGGCTATATAGGTTCATTTTCTCTTGATGTTGGTAATTATTGATCGATGATGGTATAGTGTGAATTAATGATGAATGACCTCCAAGGAGGCTGGAACAGGCTACAAAAGTCAATCGCAGACATACGGCTTAGGGTGTTTATGTGGCTTGACTTTTTAATTGATCATGAGTGGATAAAAAAGATACATTTCAAGTCAGCTTGGGGTTAGTGCGACTCATACCTATCCGCGAGGTTGTCCAGACTACGTAAGGTTTTAAAACGATTCCTGATTTTGATTTTCTTAAGCGAAGACAGAATCGATGCTCTGCCTCGTTCATACAAGTCAAAAAAAAAAGTTGTTGCACTTCGTCTTGTCAAAATTTCCATTGTTGCTTGCTGTTGTTGTTACCAATGTTATTGTCCTTGTTTGTTGCTGCTGATGTCGTCGTCGTCGTTGTTGTTGTTGTTGTTTTCTTCTTATTTCTTTTTACTGATCTGGAGTCGAGTTTACCGCTTAGAATTTAAATATTCCTAACTCAAGTTATAAAGTTAACAACTCGCTCAGTTAGTGACTTTACGAGGACATTACAGAAGACATTACGAGCTCAAAACCATTAACTCCAAGCTGAGCAAATGTCATCAAAAGAACAAATGCTCATCAGAAAACAATTCGCACGCATTTTAAAATGAATTGTTGTAACAGTAGTTAAGATGTCAAAAAATGACTAGTAATACCTTTTGGGACTATTTGTTCAGATAGAGCCATAGAAGGTTTTGGGTTTTCCTGGGTATTTTCTATTTAAGTCTACAACTCTTCAATGTTAAATATTAGTCCTGAAGAGGTTATCCGAAGAAGCAGATATCATCATATTGTGACAATAGACCACAAGAAAAAAAATTGCCTCAAGATAATTTTAGGATCATTTCATTTTAGGGAATCATGTATACAGTACTCAAGATATTCTCAGCGAATAGTCATTTGGTCGATCTAAAATGGGACAACACTGACCAAGACCAACGGAATGAGTGTATTGGAGTACACTATTAATGCTAAATGTAAAGTTATTTGGTCAAAAATGGGACAAAACGTGGACCAACTGAATAGTACTATTGGTTCATGGAATAATCTTCAAGGAAAAGTCATTTGGTCAAACATCGGACCATACTTGGGGCAACTAAATGGGTCTTTTTCAATTATTTACCAAGTTCAGCTACCGTCAGGAAATTGTTATGTGGACTAAAATGGGACAACTCAACACTGAGACCAACTCAATGCCGGGGTCTATAGGTGTCCTCAAGACACCCTAAGGGGATCACTTGGCTAAAAATGGGGCAGCACTACATTAGGGCAACTAAAATGGTCTTTTCATGGTCAGGGCTCAAGTTAAGTACCCTTAGGGTATAGTTAGTAATGTAGTCTGAACACAGTCTACATGGGTTTATTGGTACAAAGTGCTCAAGAGAATTGTCAATAAATATACTAATGGGAGGAGAAGAAGCCAAGCTAATTGGGTATATCGCTTATGCAAAGGGCAATCAAATGGCCATGCACGTCATGAAAAACGGGGCACACTAATCCAAACTGAAATGGGACAACACTGAGTCAAGCTAAATTGGTACTATTTCCAATGTAGTCTGCAATATAATGGTCACTAGAACTACAATGGAACAACGATGAGCCAAGTTGAATGAGTCTACTGCAGATGTAGTAGTATGCAAGAGAATGGTTAGTTTATAAGGTGACAACAATGAGCCAAGTTATATGAGCCAGTCTATTGCTAATAGTGTAGTCTGCAACAGAATGGTCATTAGTTCTATDATGGAACGGCAACGATGAGCCAAGCTCAACGAGTCCATTGCTGATATGTGGCAGTCTGCAAGAGAATGGTCACTAGAACTACAATGCGGGAACAACGTTAACGATGAGCCAAGTTGAATAAGTCTACTGCAGATGTAGTAGTCTGCAAGAGAATGGTCACTAGTCTTACAATAGGACAACAATGAGCCAGGTTAAATCGGAGTCTATTGCWAATGCAGTGCTTAAGAAAATGTCTCAAAAGGACATTGTCTCTCTATACTCCCTTTATGCTGTCACATACACTATGTACGTGTAATCATCATTTTGGTATGCCACTATACCAACTTGTTTTGCTATCATGACCATCATTCCCTATCATCTTCTTAGACACTCATTTCCTCAACTAACCAGACCAAGTCCGAGTTATCCAAGCAAATGCAATTAAAATATTTTACAAAGATTTCAAGATAAGACATAACTCCTCTCGTCTGTCAGCTCAAATACATTTTCATTAACAGAACGTGAGCGTCTGGTATAATACTGCGTAGCCGGGTCAAAACATTCCAAGTTATCATCTTAAAATGAGACCCACTTTAGCCAGAACTAGTACCTTAATATTTTAGCCTACGGGCTGGTAAAGGTCACAGCATTTTTCTCAGAGGAAGTATTAGTCGTATTTTATTTAACGTCTAGTTTGTTGAAAGCGATGCAGTCACCTTGACTTTGTTTTCACAAATCAATCAACTTGGCGTAATAGGATGACTAATTTTTTTCCCGTTGATTGGTCGATTAGACTGATCGGGTGGTCGGTCTGTCTGTCCACTTGCATCAAGTCATTGTAAGGGTCGCTCAGATAGAAAGTAACTTCAAGCAGAGTAAGCCTTGCATCCTGGACTCATGGACGGTGATAGAATGTAATGAATTTAGCAATTGTGCTTAATATGATTCGTCCGTCCCAGCGGAGGCGCCAACTTCGCCGTTACTTTCCACATATGCACAGCGTATGTCCCTCTTAGAAACCACATTAGAGCCTCCAATCCGTAGCATGATATATTTCTTCAATACCAAGCTGTTTTTGCAATCTCATTATAAACCAATCATGTCTTACTATAAAAAGATTTCCTCCCTGCATGAATGAGTGCTGAAATATTTCTTCGAACTTCACAGCATGTTAGTATCCAAAATATGCATGTTTTGTCGGTATTTTACAATGACCTCTTAACATGAACTCTGAAGTACTAACTTGGAGTATACAATGTCGGGGTTGTAAGCACTTAGACATAGACCCTCCTATTGGGTGGCTGTCCGATGATTACGAGGAATTATCTACTTAGACAAAATGAAAAGCAATAAACAGTCCATAAGGAATGGCTAAGAAGATACATTAAGTACTTTTGATGTTTTTATTGAAGCGCATATATTATGACCTCTTGATTCCAAATGAACTCGAATCTTCAAAACTGTCAAAACTAAGTACTTTTGCGTCGGCAGGCCTACTTATGAGCCACGCAAACGACAGAAAAATTGCTTCATGATCTGCTAATTTGCGGTTTAACCACGATTGTTTTTAAAAGAATTCACCTTATTGAAATTTTTACACAAATATTTTTGCTTTTCGTAAGTAAACGAAACGCAATGCCAAGGTTACTACAAAAAGTTAATCCGTTATAAGATTTCGTAGGTTTTAGATATGATGAACTCTAGCCTTTTTAAGCCACTGGATAATAAATTCTCGTAGATTGTGTCCAGTAATACATAATGATCAAAAGATAACGTTCACTAATTAAGCCAAATGTGTGGTCTTTGTACTGGAATACCTCAGTGATGTACCCTGCTTTCAGAGGCTCTGACAGAATCTAATTTTGATCCAAGTTTTTTTCGCAGATTTAAAGCTCGCTCGCCTCCGCGACCTAAAAATGGTTTATCAAAACCTCTAGAACCTAGCTGGGTATATGTGCGGAGATGTCAATGAATACTAAGAATCATTTCGATGTACTAGCTCAAGATAAGTCTTCTGATGAACTTGTCTTTGATATTTAAGGAAAGAGCACGGCTTGGCAAAGAAAAACTGTTACAAGCTGTTACTGTTACAAGAATAGTTTTACTTGTAGATGTTCAGGGAACTAGATGAACAATAGTGTTTAGTACAAGAAACTGGGGGGGGGGGGGACATTTTAAAGAATGTTAAGCAAGATTATAAGAGAAAAAGTGGTGTTCATATAATTTTTTGTTAAAAATGAAATATGCAAAAATAGCTTATGACAAAAACCATTGGGGAAAACAAGCCAATTCGTTTCATGATAGTGCCTGATGTGTGGTGGTCCAGCTAGTTGTGTACKATAAGACTTGTGTTTTTTGATGCAAAGACCAAGACACTTGTCCCTAGGTTCAACTAGACGATGATAAGGCAAAACCAAAGCTAAAACGATTAACATATAAAGGTGCCCTTCGATAGAAAATATTTAAAAAATACGCTATGGAACTTTGTGCAAAGAACCACAAGTGACTCATAGAAAACATTGTAGGACATTTCCGCACCGCAGTGTATGATTGTAATTCTCTTATGGCCAAACAAATTGAACATTCATTAACAGGTAAATGTAACTTGAAGAAACAATGGTGTAAGATAGCTGGCCTGAGTACCTAGTTTGCTCGATATAAGTACAAATATTATCTGTTGGTTTTACAAGTAAAACTAAGAAAAAAGAAAACTAAGACTAGTTGACTGGTAAGCGCTTCGAGTTTTTGCTACTCTTTGAAGCCTGCTTAAATGAAAGATTGAGTTCAAAATGCACCACCCGAGTGGTCAAAATCAATATTATTTCCAATCGATTGGTTCAAGGAATGATTTACATTCTTCATTTTTAAAACTAGGGACAAAAATCTCGAAGTGTTCACGTTAAACTGAAGAAGGGAATAAACTAGTTTTGAAATCTTTTAAAAGTAAGGTCTTACCTTTAGAAATTCCTGATACTCTTGTTGGCTCTTTAAAATACCTCTATTTGTCTCAGGCATCCGCACGCATTAAATTCAGTGCTTTGCATACTACCGTCAAACCATATATCAACAGCAAATCCAAAAATTCCAAAGTTATTTAAGAAGTAATCCAATACTGATTTATTTGTAATCTCTATGATTCACCATCTGTGGTCCCCATAGGATGTCCCTAGATGTCTCATCGATCTCGCATTAGGAATCACATTTTTTGTCTAGCTTGTTTATTTTAAGGCTATTCCTTCCTCAAGTGTCTGTACCGCCTTTTTCTTACACTGTAGTACCTCGGTATTAACGGACGTTAAATAGGCAGTGAATACCATTAACGTTTACATAAGTATAGGAAATGTCTGCACAGATTACTAAGTTAATAAGAAGGCTGGTTAGTAGGTATGCTATTTTAAGCCAATGAAAAATACATGTGTGGAGTGATTCAATGGTTAAGAATTTTTCAACATATGAGGAATCTATACTATTTAGTCGTGGTTTCATTTGCTGTATCTTAAATGACTGAATATTTCATTGATGCATGCAGCGGCGGATCCAGGGGAGGGGTGCAGGGGGTGCGCACGCCACCCTGGTTCGACTTCGTGCCCCTATACTTCGAAGATAACCAATACAAAATAATGTTTTTCCCTTTGATTCTAAGGGTCGCACCCCTCCCTTGGTTAACTTGCGCATTACCCCTCCCTGAACAAATTTCCGTGATCCGCCCCTGGCATGCATGTTGGGGACGATTGTAGACAGCATAAGACTTGAGATTCCTTCCCGTGAATTTCCTTCTGTTTTTGTTTTGTTTTGTTTTTTTCTTTTTTTTTTGTTTGTTGTTGTTGTAGTTGTTGTTGTTGTTGTTTTCCTTTGTTTGCTTGGTATTATTTCTCTCTACTCTGGGTGCCAGAGGCCGTGTGCCCCCAGGGTAATTTTTTTCTTGCATTCTTATTTACTTTCTTTCTTATTTCTATCTATCTATATTTTATTCCTTTATTTACTTATTCTTCTTCCATTCCTTTCTCCCTTGCACTCCTTTCGTTCCTTCCTAATAATCTACCCTTTGCCCCCCCCCCCCGGATCCGCCCTTGATGTTGCATACAAGTATCTGAAAAACTTTTACTATGGAACGACTTTCAATATATTTGTACATATGCGTTCTTATCTGTTACACGGAACCTAAATTTGTATGACTACGGTATGATATAACTACATTGATACCATTCCATAACTAACGTGAACAACATGGTGTTAATGAGAATGAAGCGTAGACTGTTTTATCCATCATGACAAAACAGAAATCCTAAACAGACGAAGTATGTGCTTAAGGCAACTGAAGAGCGTCTGCATTCTTTGCAGCCAGCTTTCCTAAAACCTCTGCCATGCGCCAACTGTCTAAGCAACAAACTAGTTTTATTTTATATTTTACAAAATTTAATTAAAAAATGATGTATGTGGATAGCAGCTTAAAACCAGTCACGTTACAATGAAAATACGAGAGAAAAAAGGAAAATATAGATAGTCTTTGTTCTTTCGTGCGTTCATCCAATTTTGAGGATTTAATGACTCGGTAACGACGATAGATGTTTACAAAAGAACCAGCAATAAGCCTCATTAAAATACCGAACATGCGTCTGTATTCAATCTTTGTTTGTTGACAAAACGGCGAGAGAAAAGAAAAGCTTAATAGATATAAGTCAAGCCTACAAGGAACTATATATTTGCCTGAGGATAAGGAAATAGTAAAATGACCAAAAAAAAACCTCTATACATTGTGCGTGCTGTTTTTCCATTTCAGATCACGGCATGTCATTTTCCAGAGTATCAATTCTTTGTTTAACGGTTGTGAATGAGAAGACAAATGAATGTGGGTACAACTCAAACAAAGAATCTATTTTTCAAGAGAATGACACGTGGTCTCAGATAGGAAAACAGTAAGCCTAAGCTGAAAAGGTCTATTATTCCTCATTTCATAAAACTCTGGCTACTCCTATAGTATAACAATTTCACCGTACTGGTAAAATAATAGAAATGGCTAAGGTAAAATGGACAAAAACGTCCCCAATATTACTGCATGCCACTCCATTTTTAGATGTGAACTTCACTGTCGATATTTTCAGTTTTCTACGCATACTCGTAAAACCTTACACTTCGTAAAAAAGTATTTTCTTGGCATTCAAACTGAAAGAGATCTTGATCGCCAAGAGTCTGTACGGATATATTTTCTTTATGAAAAATAGAGAGCCTAGCTAGAATATCGCTGAAATCTCTAGCAAATAGCGTACGGCTTCCCCAGTGTGTTGCTCTAGTTCATCAAGTGTAGTGTTGAGTGATAAAAGGATTAAATCTCTATTAGACTAGGCCACTGAGTTAACATCTTTAAATACTTGTACCATTTCTGCTGTGCTCTTCCGTGGCGTTTAGTTTTATTAAGTACTTCGAGTATGGAAAACAAGATGCGTCCGGTCATTTGCGAATAGATAACATTCATGAACTTCCGCACAGCTTGCTTGATTCTCACACAATCACAGGTAGCCCAAGCTATGGAATTGGACTGGGTCCTCCTTGGGTGTGTGTGTCCACCGTAGTTGCGTGGGTCCACCATADGTAAGGGTCCAACGTAGGTGTGTGGGTCCACCATAGGTGCGTGGGTCCACCATAGGTGTGTGGGTCTACCGTAAGTGCGTGTGTCCACCATAGGTATGGGTCCATCATAGGTGTGTGGGTCTACCGTAGGCGTGTGGGTCCACCGTAGGTACGGGTCCACCGTGGGCGTGTGGGTTACCATAGGCGTGTGGGTTACCGTGAGTGTGTGGGTCTACATACCTACCCTACCGTGGGTATACGGGTCAACCGTAGGTACGGGTCCACCGTAAGTGTGTGGGTCAACCGTAGGTACTATACGGATCCACAGTAACTGTGTGGGTCCACTTTTAGTGTTCGGGTCTACCGAAGTTGCGTAAGTCCACCGGAGATGTTCGGTCCACCGTAGGTGTGCGTTTCATACATTTACTGTATTTAATCAACAACCCCGACTTCGAGCTATCAAGTTTCGTGATCAATCCAGCGAATTCGCGTAAGGTTTCTTCCTCCTAGGWCAATACTCAAGTCGTGAACGCGAACATGATTCCTTTCTCCTGACTTATTCTTAAGCGCAAACATTAGAAGCAAAAGCGGAAGCAAATTCACACACTTTTATTCATTATCGCCATATATATATTGTACAAGYAATCTATATTAGTCGTCTTTTGTGTTCTTCTTTAATATCCTGTCAGTGAACTTCACCATGCCGCAACATTGTCATTGTGGTGAACACTCACGTATTCATAAATCAGAAAATGAAATAAAGAACCTTTTCAGGCCGCTCTCTTTTAGCTAAATATTTGCGTTTATCGCATCATTAAGAACATTTCTTTCTAATTGGAAATATTTTTAAGAGGACGAATCATTATTAAGGGCGTATAATCTAGCACTATTTATAATCACTTCCCAATAAATAATACTAATGATCATACTTAGCGAAGACTTTCCGTGATACGCATAAAAAAAGCCTTTAGGTATTATTCTAGAACACGTTTTTAGTTTTAATTTTTATTATCTATTGTATCTACCTTAGGTTCTTTTCGATTATATCTGTCAATATAGTTTTGTACTGTGTACCACAGGCATAGAGTTTCCTCCGAGCTGTGCATTTATAGGCTGATTTGTCAGCTTTGTCGTGCGATAAATCATATTTGTACATATTTGTAAGTTTATTAGTTGGATGGGACTTCCTGGCGAGCTCTAGCTTATCGCAGTTGGGTGAAAAGGTGGTAATTGTGTTTTATAGTGTATGTACTTATCTAAAAGAATAAGAGGTGTAGGAAACGCTTAGGGAGACATGTTACTGTGGGGGTTCTATATCTTTAAAGAGGAGAGGAAGCGATGTTAAAGGGTGGATGAGATGATGAGCCAGTGGACGCCTGAAGTATTGACTCGATGAAACGCGAAAATAAGTACGATAGGTTACATGTTCCATATTTTTAAGAAAAAGAAAGCGATGTGAAAGGGTGGATGAGATGATGAGCCATGCCAGTRGACGCCTGGAATATTGGATCGAGAATAAGTAAGAAAGAAAGGAAATCGAAGGATGGAAAGAAAGAAGGAATGGATCAATGAGTGAGCGAACGAGTAAATAAGTGACTCACTAGATGAATGAATGAATGGATGAATGAGTGAATAATAAGTAGTAAGACTTAGTAAGAAAAGATAAATCTAAAAAGCTTGAATCAACAATCCGAATCTTGAATCAAGATTTAATTGAATTAAAAATGGAAATAAAAAATGGTTAAGAGAAAAGAGGAAAAGAAAGCATATAGGAAAATAAGGGGGAAAATGACCAAAAGAAACCTTAAATGAACAAAAGCATCAAGAAACGAATTAATAAGATAAGTCCTTTTTTYAAATATGGTGGGAAAAATCATTTGTTTAGTATAATCTAAATAAAGGATTTCTTAGTATACTTCGGAGACACAACAAACAACGCGCAAGGATTAACGAAAAAAATCTAAAAAAATTTAAGGAGAAAAATCTTTTGTTTAGTATCATCTAAATGAAGGATTTCTTAGGAGACACAACAAACAACGCGCAAGGAATTAACGAAAAAAATAATATTAATCAGAGAGAAAACGTGCGGAAGGATAAAATTCGTGAAGGGGTTCTTCTTTTTCTAGACTAATTTTTCATCTTCAGACATAATTGCATGCCGGAATCAGATCGAAGTAATATACTTACATATGCTACAGAACTTCGTTGAAAAGCTATTCAACAGTAATTTTACTCTGTGAGGGGCAAAAAATAGACAACTTGTCAATCCATCAATGTCAAGTTAAGCACAACATGCCTGGTGATTGGTTGATGGGCAAAAAAGAGGTATTATACACAGCAAATGGAAAAAGTAAGAGTTGCAAGATGGAATAAGATGAAAAGAATTTTAGCTGGCCATGGATTTATTTTTGAATGTTTATCAGATAACACATAATAAGGAAGACAAGTTTTCGCTTTGTGCTTAGAAAACGTGCTAGCAATTCCTTTTTTCAAGAAGCCAAGAAAGACATGTTCTGTTATTCATTTTTAAAAAATGAAAATTAATACTCGATTTTAATTGCGTCCGAACTCGACTACTCAAACAACCTTCTGGAAAAATCACACGTCATTAATTATTAATTCCTCTTTTAAATTTTGGGAATAACAACTTGGATAAACACAAAGAACAAACAACTTCGTTCCTAAATGAATTTAGAATCAATATATAATGTATTTGGAGAGAGATTAAGTCAAATCGGATCATAGCCTGGTGCATCAAAAAGTGAACGTTTCTAAAAGAGTCCAAGAAAAATTGAACGGGAGTTTATTACCAGCGCTATCATGAACTTCACAAGACAAGTCAACGAATCTTTGGTAAACTCACCAAAGAAGTATTATTCCTACATCCTTCAGCATCGAGGAACAGCTGAAGTGGCTCTGGAGTCAGGATTTCTTTCTCTGATAAATGCAGTTACGGTGATGGGCAACACCTTGCTATGTATCGTCATATATAAAAACAAATGTCTTCGTACTTTGACCAACATTTTTATCGTTTTCCTTRCCATCTCGGATATCCTCATGGGGTTATTCTGCATACCCTTCTCGGTTGCTGTATTCATTCAAGGAAAATGGGTGTTCGGGAACCACATTTGTCGAATGCAATGCTTTTTTGTCTATTTTCTGGCGTTGGGCTCTTTGCAAACATTAACTATGATTGCAATAAACAGATATTATCGAGTGCTCAAGCCATCGAAGTATAAAAAGGTTTTTACTTTTAAATCTACTGTTGGGATTTTGATACTTGTGTGGCTAAGCACTGGTGTATTTTTAGCAATAACACTATCGACAAAGGCTGTTTTGCCCGACTTTAGTCCAGTCAAAGGTGCCTGTGTAATGTTCGGGAACCCTAAATCAAGCAGTGCGGTTATTTATTCAGTCAACATGACTCTAGTCACAATTTTTGCAATAATTCCCACCTTCGTTATCTCATTTTCGTATTTTCGTGTATTTCGTGTTGTGGGTAATCATTTTATTCGAGTTTATCCGACTTTGAACAGACGAGGCGTCAATTCTACGGCTTCGTCACAATTGGCCCCTAACATCCACGACATAAAATCTACAAGAACCTTGTTTTTTATTCTTCTAGCTTTTGCTATCTGTTGGCTTCCCGTCTTTACGATTGAGGTATTACAGTTGTTTATCAGTTGGTGGAAGCTGCCACGTTCTTGCCATTTGCTATGGACATTCTGTGGCTCCCTGGGTACTGCCGTCAATCCGTTTGTCTTTGGAATAACGTGCCGAACTTTTAGGAAAAAATTCTGGGCTTTTTTGTTTCCCGAGGGGACCAACTCTAGCCCAGAAATATCGACAGCTCCTGTTAAAGCATCAAGGTTTATAGTGAGTGAATTTTCCCTGGCTGGGGAAGTCATCAACACACGAACATGAAAACATCTTCCAAGCCGGAAAATCTAAAGGAAAACAGGAACAATTCATTTCAAAGAAAACCTAAGACAAAATCCTGCAGTTTTAGGGTCGAATTACAATGTTATCGACACTTCAAAAATAGATGAAGGAGTACCCAAATAAAATCAGAAATTTCTTATAAAGTTTGGATGATTTTATTTAAGATTTCTATGTTTATATATGTACAGGCCGAATAGAATTGATTGCCGCGTAAGGCACTTTAATTTCAATCACTCAGTTACAAAAATAATAATGTAATAATAAAAAATAATCCAAAGAGGGGGATAACTGGCATCCAAACCCATTTACGTCATTGTAATATTTTTCCTCCAAAGTTTCACTTTCTGACTTTAATATTGATGAAAATCGCCATCATTCGAACTCACGGCACAAAACATTCTCCTTTCAATTGTTTACAAATGCTCTAGCTATTATCGAGGTATTCACTGTATATCATATTTTTCCTTATTAATTTTTACAGTAATACTTATTTCATGTATGGGGAACCATATGATTTTAACAAAAGATGCTTGTCATTTATTTATCATTTAATTTTTTAAAATTTTTTTCTGGTCATTTATATTTTATTATTCTTTATGTTTTCCCTGTTTACATTTGGTTTACGATAATATTTAGAGTGTAGGTAAGAGATATGAATTCATAAGAAGATCAATACGTTTTTATCGTTTTAAGAAATTGATCATTCATTATTACCTCTTCCTCCAATACACCTCTTAAATATGCTTTAGTATTTGTATGAATATTCAAAATCGTCTCRCCAACAGCGATCCATGCAAGTCCAACTGCTTTAACAGTGATTAAAATAATGAAGTAAGTGGAACAAAAATTAAAAAGGGTTAAAAGCTAGCAACAGAGCAGGYGCATGTTACGTCATTGCCGCCATCTTGGTTGACGATAACAAAGCATTTCTCATTAGCTTCTCTTGTTAGATCAACCAAGATGGCGGCTGTGTCATTGTTATTCATATCTCAAGGGATTTTGAGTCACATGGCTGCACACACTCTATTCATTAAATTGTGTACAGGACACTGACAGTGAAGCGATTCCTCCGTCTATCAACTTTCGGGATCTTTTTACCTGATATTTTCGGTATTCATTAGTTTCGATAAAGGATAAAGCATTCTTTGTTTTTATAGTCAAAAGCATATCTTTTTTTCGCGGGCGGATATTCATTTCTATCTGTAGTTGTTTGCATTTCTAGTCGAGATTAGGTTTTTATCTTATACAAATTCAGTTCCTACTGTCTGCCTTAAGTCAATATTTACTGCTATCTAACAGTTATTAAACTGCTATTTCAGGGGTCTGTGTATTGCAGTAATGTAATAGCCCCCACTAAGGCTTTAGCAATGACAATGTGRCTTAAATGCTAAATGTGTTGTAGACGGCGGACGATGAAGAATGTAACGCGCGTATGTGAGCATATATACTTGTTAAATGCTTAGCAACTATTCGCCGAAGGCGAAGTGAATATCGGGGAATATTTACCGAGACGCGAGTCTTCGAGCGGCGAGGTAAATATTCTCCATATTCACTGAGCCCGAGGCGAACAATTGTTTTAGCATATACCAACTTGTGTACAGAGTAACTTATTTTTATATACAATAATTGAATAAAAACATACAAACAGAAACTTTTAGTTTGCGTGACAAATTCACGCAAAACATTTAGGCAATGCTTCATTGCCTTTTTATTATTGATAGGAATGGCATTTACTTTCATTTTTTTCAATTTCCTAAACGATTGCCGGGAGATGCCATTTTGTTGCCGACTCAATATTCCGAGTTTCAGAGGTGAATATCGTACAATATTCACCTCCAATTAACCGATGAACGCGCGCGTTCTTAGGAAGTACACAAGTTGGTATAAGCTAAGTTATTATCTATGCGCATGCGTGGAAAGTACAATTTCGTACTCAGAGCCTGCGTTTCTTTTGGCCTGCGGCTAAGAGCGAGGGCTCTGSCATAATCCATTTTTCGTCGCATGCAAAATTTTCTGGCAGTGAAGTAAAATCAATGAAAATCATGCTTTCAGAGTTCTTTGTTTAATACAAAATCGGGAACACATTTAGTTTATTTTATCTTAAGTATTTTAATGCATGCGGAAGTCCAAGAAATCCTGGTCTCAAAAAATGTATTATGCAAAAGCCCTCGCTCTGATTGGGGAAAATAAAAAGGTTTGCGCATGCGTGCATTTCAGTTCATGACTCGACTTTGCCTATTTTCGAAATAGCACGAAGGAGCCTTTGTTTATTAGTACATGTGGTGATAGATATAATCCATTAGAGTGATTTTCATAAACCCGTGAAATACACACCAGCCTAATACAAATTAGTATTCATAATTAATAAT